AAGAGATTAAAATGTTCAGTGCTATCCAAGGTTTCAGGCATCTGATGGGGGTCCTGGAATGTCCCCCTTGGATACAGGAAAGCTGCTGTATTATTTGCCAATATGAAAGTGCAGTAAATAGGAAGAGTTGAGTTCTAATGCGATACAATACAACAGTATGGCCGTAGTCCATGCACAGCAATTTATACTTGTTTTATTATTTTTATTTTATAAAGAACTGGAGAAAAGGAGTTCTAAAGTTTCTGACACAAAGAAGTGATAAGTATTTAAGGAGTTGGAAATGCTAATTACCCTGACGTTGTCAGGACACACTTGTATACACATATCCATTTGTCACATGGTACCCCATGAAGACCCAAAGTCTATGAATGGTTACATGTGGCTGAGATGAAAGGGTGGGCAGGAATGGAAAGTGACTGAATGGTTCAAGGTTTCTTTTCGGGTGATGAGAATGCTGTAAACTTAAATAGTGGTGATGTTTGCATCACCACATAAATGTATTTAAAATCCTTGGATTACAAGCTCTGAATGGGTGTTCTGTTGTATAAATGTGTTGTACCCCTGCTGCTGGGCACTTAAGCCATCACCAGCTTTTGGTAGCATATGGCAAGCTATAGGAGACCTCCTTGTAGCATCCATCTTTGCACACATGTGATTTTCATATGCTACATCCTTAGAAATGTCATCATCATGTTCTCAATCTTTTGCCCAGGGTCCTGATCCCGATGCCCGCCCCAAGAGCACAGGTGTCTTCCAGGACGAAGAGCTCCTTTTTAGCCACAAGCTCCAAAAGGGCAATGACCCAGATGTTGACCTTTTTGCTGGCACCAAAAACAACAGGGTTAGTTCTCCATGTGACACTTTGTCACTCTGTTAGATTCCATCTCGGCTCTTCACTCAGCTCTTGATATAAACCACTTTCCTTTTGGGGGCTGAATCTGAAAGTTGTCTGTTCCAGTTGGCAGAGCCGATCATGGGGACCCTGTTTGGTGATGATGAAGATGAGGATCTTTTCAGCTCTGCCAAGATCCAGCCTGTGGTATCAGCCTTTTCTCTGTACTGGGGATGTGAGAGAGGAAACTAATGTCCAGTTATCAGAGGAAGAATGAACAGAGAGTTGTAGTGCCAGGTCATATGCAAATAGCAGCCAAACATTCTGGTGGGATCATGTGTTTGGGATCTCAGCTCATGCGGTTGCCCATCCTGTGTTTCCTCACTTGACATTAAAACCGTAACTGGCCCAGGCCCTCTGACTGCATTACAGACATGTTTGATTTATTACAAAATCATTGCACATGCTCCAGAGACTTTGTTTTAGGGCCTCTCAGGTACAAACTAATTTGAGTTCTAACCCACATGTGTTTTTTCCTTCCTGCCCCACTAGATTTTATTTCTGTCACAGAGAATGCTGTGAAAGACACATTCTTCTCTTTCTTTTCTTTTTTTTTCCCCCTTTGCTGTTGTAGTTCTGGGCATCAAGGCTGGGGCCTTGTGCATGTTAGGCAGGCACTTTACCAC